GTGCCATACATCAACCTCTGCTCAGACTGTCTTGCTGTGGACTAGTCATGTGAGGACTTTGTACCTGGCTGCAAAGGAGACCAGGACATGTAGTCATGTTTGGGCAGCTGCCTCCTAGCTACAAGTATATCCTACGGAAGGGGAGAATGGGTTATGGCAGGCAGCTAACCATCTCTGTCACAAGCCCAACTGCTTTGTTGATTGATATATAGCTTTCTTCCAAAATGGATTTCAAGGGCCTGAATGCTTCTCTAAGCCTGGCACTGTGTTGGCTGCTGGAAAACATTGGTGTAATGAGATAACAATGCCCAGCTCTGGGGTCGTAAGGAGGAGGGAAGGTGGGCAGTCCCTTTCATTAGTAAGGAAGCAGTCCCCGTGGTTTATACGACACCTATGCCATGAAGCAGAGCTCATACCTCACGGCATCTAAGCAGGGTGTGGATGTTACCAGTGTTTACTAAGCATTAACTATACCTAGACAGTCATAAATCATGTACTGTTTTTGCAACACTGTATGTTTTCCAAATGATCTGTAATGAACCATGTTTTACTTTTATAATCAGATAAAAAGGGTTTTTTTGAAGCAAAAGTATTACCAAAATAAAACTAGCATCTCATTTACAAGAGTTTTAAGAAATAGGACTAACCACCCAACTCTGCATCTAGACAGTGTAGCTTTAGAAAATCCCTCCTTGGACATCGGCGACAGCACCACGCAGCAGCACCTGCGATGCTTGTAGACATCGGGCAACTCGCCCCACACTCGTTGTTCCAGCACGCGGGTCAGCTGCTGGTATGTGCACCTCCTATGCCGGAGGTTCGGCAGCAGCAGTCACGTGGACATGAGATCAGAGACAGAGAACAAAGATCCAGGGAACAAAAGGCCAAATCTATGCAACCTCAATGTCAGGGCAAACCAAAGAGACAAGGTAGATCTGGGGCTGTACAGAGTCAGGGGTGGTAGTCGAGGGGTGAGTCAATGCCGGACAACTGCCCCCACCTAAACACAGAGAACCCAGAGGTTGCTACAGAGCTGGGGGTCAAATGCTTTTCCTGCTGTTGGAAGATGAAACGTTTGCTACACTACAGCAACGTGGTGTAGGAGGCAGACCCTGACATCCAACCAGTCGTCTCGATGGACTCATTCAACTAATCCTTTCTGAGCATTTACCTTGTGATGGAGACTCTGCCAGGTGCTGAAGATGCAAACCAAAACACAAGATTTTGTCTTCACATGACTTGAATTATGTTAGAATTTGTACGCTGCCTTGGAAAAATTAGTTCATTATTTGCAAAAAGTCGAAGCATGTTTAATTTTTTCATTTAGCAACTGAGGTAACATTTGTGTAGTAATCTAGGTTCACCAGGTCTTCTAGCTGGAAGAAAAAGACTCAACCAACAGGACGTCCTGTGAAGACATCGGATAAACAATGTGAGGGCTGCATTTCTGTTGGCACGCAAACTGGAATTCCCTGAAGAGTTAACTCATCAGATAACAACACAGTTATTAATATAAGAAATTGTTCCAGATTGTGGCATGATCCTTCAGCTCTTTTCATTCTGCTCTGCCACGATGGTGATCTCAGACTGGCCTTAGAAGTAGATGACCATTAATATCATCAGTATTTCTAGGTAAATGAGACTTCTATAGAAGTGATACTTTTCATCTTTGAGTTTCAGGTGTTTTTACTAGATTAGGTTGCTCCCTCCTTTTGTGCATTCTCTGAAGTACACATACCCTCTCCTTCATGGCACTAACCTATATTTGCAATTTTATGTTAATGTGTGTGGTTATTTCATTAATATCTTTCCCACCCATTAGACTGTAAGTGTCATAAGGAGATGTCCCATGACTGATAGTGCCTGGAACCTGGTGTAAAACTTTGTGAGGAGCAGGGGGTAGGGTGGGATGGGGGCAGAGTGAGAAGGAACAGGAAACTCTAGAGAAAGGCTTAAGTTCCTCTGCAGCAATGGAAATTTCCCGTCTGCAGCGGTTTGTATTGCCAACCTGAAACTGGTTCCCAGAATCCCGTTCCTGCCATGGTTCTGGGTGAGCTCTGGCCTGGAGGAACTTTCCCTGGAATTGGAAGGCAGAAGCAAAGTGGCAGCCATGACACTCTGAAAGTCTAAGTAGGACATCAGGTGCCACTATAGCACGGGCATGTGATCACTGGCTTGTCTTGTGGACCATCCTTCAGCTTCCACCGAGTTTCCTGCCTCGACTTCTCTGAGTGCTCAGCTAGGTGTGCATGCAGCCCCCCAAAGCAAAGGGTGCCAGCTCCTCCTGTAGGTCTCCTATGACTCAAGGTTGGGGTTAGTGAGAGAAAATGAGAGTTCCAGTTTGTTCTCACTTATCTCCATCTGAATCCAGATTTTCTTCCCAATTGCTACCATGGCCCTATGGTGACTTCAGGATCACCCAAGCTCAGAGGCAGCAGCAGCAGCATGCGGTCACCTAATCCCTATAATAAATGCCTTGTTTCATTTCTCTCCTGGTGGGACTGCTTCCCTGAAAGCTCCCTGATGCACCATCGGAGCAGTTTGAGTCTCTTCCTCTTTGGGGGTGGCTGCTCTTATGAATTAAGAGCTTTCATTACTGATGTTATAATCTTCCATTGTTTTAGCTACTAATTACTAAATGCCAAGCCTCGTGGTGGTCACTTTATATTATTTTTAATCTTCACCTCATTCCTGAAGTTGTGCAATATATTTCCATTAGAGGAAAATCTGAAGCTCAGAAAGGTTGATAAATTTACCCTAATATCACACTGCAGAGGCATGAACTTGAGCATAGATCCATCTGCCTCTGCCTCTACACCTACACTATTACATCATGCTTTCTTTTGTATTAGGTGAGGTTTTAAGTTGGATTTTTGTCCCATTTAAGTGTCCCCCAGGAGCCATGGTAACCTGATCTTTCATTTTAGAGCAAGAGAAACAATTCAGGGCACTGTTCAGCAAATAGGGCTGCTCAGAGATGCCAAATGTCATTTCATCAGCAGCAAAAGATTCGATAGCCTTTTGGTGTGTGATTTGCAAGTGTGAGATGTCAGGAATGGAGGACTCAGTGAAGCTGATTTTCTGAAAGTAAATTCAATGAACTCTCAAGGAACGTGGGCACCCAATGGGTAGGGACCTGCTCCTCTGGGATCTTCCAGGGACAGCAGCTATATCTACTTCTTAGTGCTTTTCCAGCACCTAACACGGTACCTGGCAAACAGTAGGTGCCCAATAAATGTTTGTTGTTGGACAGATGGGCGCTGAACCAGTTCATTTATCCCACTCTGCATTTCTGCATTTCTTTCCATGAGCCTGCTGCTTTCTTTGTCTTGATTGTTCCATTGGCCTCTCAGAATATGTGGCATATTTTTAGTGCAATTCTTACTTCTCCATTACATGGATCAAATGGTGATATAATTAACAGCCAGGCCAGATTTGGGAAATCTGTATGACAAAGAAATGAGTTGGGTCTGCCCTATTTGACTCATGAAGTGTCTCTCAAGAGCAAAACCCTGCATTATATGAAGTGATATAATTGGAGATTTTCAGATGTATTTCACTTCCCATAAAAGACTCCCACAACAAGCATTCCTTTTCATGGTGGGAATCCACACAGCTTCCAAAATACCCTCAGAATTGAAGGGAAACTTTTGTACAGTCAAATGGCACATAGTTTAAGATTTCATTGTGCCTGTCTCCTTCTAAGTCTTAAGAGATGGGCTCAGCAGTAAATGCTGAACAGAGAGCAATCTGCTTGCACAGTGACTCCCGATTTCTCTGATGGGCTCTGTCATCTGGCCATAGGCGACAGGTTTGTTAGGGAAGCTAAAGTGTGACTTTCCATGCTTCCTATCCATTTGGAATTTGACAGTGAATTTGTTATTTTCCATATAAAACACTTATCTGGTTTTTACGAACGATGGACTTCATTTCTTTCAGGCTGGCCCCTTTAGGGGATTGACAGTGATTTTTAATAGAGCCTTTCCACCTGCCAAGTTCTTGTTACTCACAGCAAACTCAACACACCTGAGACTATTCAGCCCTTTTTACTTCTGTGGTTGCTCAAAAGCAATAAGTGGTGTTCCAACATTTAGTAAATATTTATTAGAGAAGTACCATGTGAAAAGCAGTAGGAAGGCTACAGAAGGTGTGTATGAAAGGGGCCCTGTCCTCATCAAGAAGAAAACAGGAGCAACATGTAGTCAAAGGTGCCAATGATTATGCTTAGAATTCCAGGGAGAGAGAGCAGCATGGCCTGTGTCATCAGGGAAGGCTTCTTGGAGGAGGGGATCAGATTTAATGAAGCCCTGGGAAGCTGCAAGTTACTATAGACCAGTAGGGACTGACAATTAGAAGCCTAGATCAATAAATTTATAATTAAGGAGTGATGGCTTTGCAAATAAACAGTCCAGAACAGGGTATCAATAACACAATGTATAAAATAAACCAGCAGCCACATTCAAACCGTTAAGTGACTTGAGTTCACACCTTTCATGATTTCCCCAGATTCAACCCTCTTATCTTTATTCCATTCTTAGTGTTATTTCAAAAGAGAGAACCTGTCAGGGACCTAAAATGATTCCAGGGCCAGACGGAATTAGGCCAACCGGAGCCAACCCCAGCTCCACTCTTATCAATTTGGGAGAGAGATACCATGTAAGGCTCAGCTTCCTGATGTTTAAAATAAAGATGGTGATCCCTACACCTGGACAGATTGTTCAGAAAATTAAAAATATGTGCGTCGAGTCCTTAGCACAGGGCTCAACATGAGGTGTGAGCCCACGTAAGTGGCAGTTGTTGCATGGTTTGATTCCTCTGGTTTAGCGAGCACAGAGTGACAGGCAGATGTTCCTTCCAGTGGGGGCATGTGACAGGCACTTAATAAACGTGTACTGAATGAATGACTGAATTAATTAAGCAAAGGTCCTTTCACTTCATTTAAGAGCCACTGTATTAAATCAATATGGCATTCATTGTGTAGTCCAGTAACACTTGAGCTTTATTATTTTGAAGAAAATCTGTTACAGAAAATGCTCTCATCTACTTGACCTCGGAGGAGATGTTTAAAGAGTTCTGGTCTTGTACAAAAATTGTGAACAACTGCTGATGAGCCCTTCTGTAAATGTGGGAACCTAAAATGTAATCAAGAGAGTGAAAGTACTGTTTTGAGACAACGAATAGTGAATTCAAACTTGAAGAGTTATGAGTTATCTCACTTTTTCCTCCAATAAAGGTTTTTCTGGGCCTTTACAACCAGTGACTCCTTCCCCACCCCCTTCATGTTGGAAGAAGCGGAGGTGAATCTTTAAAAATATGAAGGATAAGTTTAAAATAAATCTGCTTTCTTAGAAAGGAAGATGCACCACTCAGCAGTGGACACAGTTTCCTAACTCTTCTTTCTCAAAAAAGGGCTTTGTAAACTGGTTTTATGCATAAATGTTGAGATTTTAAAGAGACCTTTCATGCCCTGAGCATACAATGGGCTTGTTGGTATATTTCAGGAAGAAAAGTATTGGGAAGATGTCAAAATTGGAGAAGAAAGGCCAAAGGATAAATAGATTATATAGTGCAGCATATCAGAATATGAAGGGGGGAACATTGGCAGTAAATCTGCCTTAGGAATGACTTCTTGGTATTCTGGACACCACATGGATCAAATTAACTTCACGGTTCAAGGATATCCTGTTTTCTGAAGCTACTGTACTTTGAACAACTTTGCAGCATCTGTTGGACACAAAATATAATCCTTACCAACTGACTTATATTTTTGGAACTTTGCCTCCAAAGTCTCCGGGAAGCCCCTCAGATGTTCTAAGAGTACATAACCCATTTTTGGTAGCAGAGCTTTGGTAAAAGTTGATGATCTCCAAGAGAAATGAGAGGCCTCTGCTTCCCATTCTGAAAAGGAAGAGTGGAAAGGCAAATGCTAACCATGGCCAGCAAGACAAGGCGGCAGTGATTGCTGGACCCCTCAACAAAGAGTGGGCACTGCTCTGTAAGCACTGTATTTTCCTGACTTCCTTTTATACTTTGATTTTTCCTCTGCACATTCACAGCAAAGAAACTTTCAAGATAACCAGACATAATTTTCCTATGTAAAAAGGAAAAGTAAGGGTTTGTCTGACTCTGCACAAAGCCCTAATTTGCCAGAACAATCCAAGGCTGGACTCTTACAAAACAGAGGTGTGTGTATATGTATAATATGGAAGGAGTGGAAATTTAGCAGGTGAGAGACATTTTCTAATCATGCCACTTCTCTCAACTAATGGGTATGTTTCCTGGGCCTTGCTAACTATTCATGGATGATTAAAACAAAACAAAAATTCTCAGAACGGGTTGTAAAAGATTCAGAGAGTGAGTGAGAGTGTGTATGTGTTTGCACATGTACACAGGGATGCCAAAAGGCACGACTTTGAAACATATGGTCAGAGATTATACCTTAAATTAGGAAAATGTAACTTGTGTAAATAGTGTTTCCACCTTAGAAGACCTTTATAATTAGGGCAGAATAATCAGGTGTAGTGCCCAGAGGCTGTCTGGAAGACTACCTAGAAAGATGACAGAAAATGCTTTCTTTTCCATTTGGGTAAAGTACAGAAAGGAAAGTAAATACTAAGTCTGTGTTAACAAAGTCTATCTTTTCAGATGACTCATGTTCATCTGAGTAAAATATTCCCTCTCTTCTTTGCCTGGAAATCTTTTTACAAATAAATGCATAACATCAGAGATGTCCATATCAGCTTCTGTTAAATTATTTTTAAGGAAAAACATAAATGCCACATAAATAGAATCAGGGAACTTAAGCTTAAATATCTGACTTCAATGGTAGAAAATGGCAGAAATAATTCTCTTCTCCAACTAACCTTGAGCTTGAATTGTTAGAGTTGACTTGAGGTAGTTAATCCCCTAATTAATGTCATAATTATCAACATCAGTTAGCCTTAATATTGTATAATCAAATTACCACCGAGTTATCTGGCAAGGCTATAAAATTGATCATTTAAAAATTGTGAAAAAGTTTTTTAAATGTAGTCTACCAAAAATTACAAGGCCAACCAGACACTAGGACAGTATTTTAATCAGATATGAAAAGGGTTATTATGTATAAAATATAAAGATGGTTCAAATTCATGAGAAAAAACACTGACATCAATAGGTAAAGGGACAAAGTATATTAACCACAATTCACACATAAAAGACAAATTAGCAAATATTTAACAAGTATATTTGTCTTCATTTGCAATCAAAGAAATATGCATTTAGAACACCACCAAGATACAATTTTACACCTGCCCACGTAGCATTCTTTTAAAGAAATAACACCCAATGTTATCAAGGTAAAAGGATAGACTGGTTTCCTTCTTCATTGCTAGAAGAGTTATTACACTATTGCAAGCCCAACAGAAAGCAGCATGGGAGGGCACAAACCAAATGCACTTTGTAAAGAAAAAAATTACTCAGTCCCTTTAGTGACTAATTTACATTTACTTGTTCAAAATATTTCCACTTTAAGAGACCCTCTACTTCTGTCAAACTAGCACTTTAGAAGTTGACTCATTCCGGCATAGATACATAGATCATTTGGAAGAAGCAAAGACAAAAATCTTAGAGTTACTTTGACCAGACTGGGAGGCATAAAACATTGTATGAAATTAGAATATAACTTCTTAGTCTAACTGACCTTTTAAAAAAGTTTTACTAACAACCAAATGCACTAAAATAAGGATACAAATATATATTTAGCTGATAATCTCAGAATATTTCCTAATTAACCAATCACCCTAGATTTTACTTTGTTGATCTATGAAAAGTTGATCATCTCCCTAACTCAGGGTTGCCTTGGAAATAAATATCAAAATATATGTAAAAGCACCAAGCCTAGCACTTAAAAAATTACTTTTCCTTTTCTGCAATCCCACCTGCCCATTTTTTGAGAAAGGAGATCACATCCTATCTCATAGTTTAGATGTAAGAATAAATGAAATAATATACACAGAAAAGGTGCTTTGAAAAACAAGCAGTCTAAAAGCAGAATATTACTAAAAAATAGGTTTGGCAGACTAAGGGGAATATGTACGTGTCTAAAAAACACTTTGAACTATCTCTAGGTTTTTGATAATTGCTGAAAACAATTTGATACCTTAAGAGTCAAATAGTTCTCTATGAAAATCTTTAACTGCCATTGATAAACTATATACTAATCTAGTCACTTTCATTCTCCATTTCACTTTTGGTTTCATTTTGTTCACATCTACCTTTCTCCAGTTTATTACACCGATTTCAGTTAGCTTTATTCCTGCTCACTTCCTCTGATTTAACAGAAAGATAAATAAAAAAGCCATGCTGAAGTCATTCTGAAGCTTGGGGCAACAGGAAAGATCTGTAATACTGTTTTTAGTTTGACTATTTGTTGATCATGAATTTCTGTGAATTTTGATTTTTTAATGGCATTAAAATTTAAAAATCAGTATCTTGATTACTGAGGTTTTTTGGCACCTTTGTTAAATTTTTTGCTGTAAGGGAAATGCTTTGTTCCTAGTCTTAGCCCTGTGAAAAGGGGAAGAGGTCAGAAAGCTGGAAGTGTTGGCAATAGAGCTGATGGAAGCAGATACAACGGCACAAGGATGTACACATGAACCTAACTTGAGTCTTCTACTTACAAGCAGAAAGCTGCGTGTGACTGCCCCACTTTCTACCTTGCTAAAGATGCGTACTACCCACCCCCTTTCTGAGGAAACTACTCTGAAAACCTGGATTTGGTCTCCTGTCTGAATGTCACCCAAGAGGCAAAATGGGCTAAAACAGAAGAGTCAGGAAGGCAGCTCTGCACCATGCTACCAGTTGGCCTGTGTTTAGCAAAGTTTCCAAACACTGATTTGGGGGACAGGATAAGAACAATTTGTGAAAAACAAGTTGCAATATGAGCAAAGAGTACAAGCTGAAAGGAAGTGAAACCTCCGGTAGGAAAGTGAGTAAAATCACCCACCTCCTTTTGGTCCTGAGGGTGGCACGTTTTCGTTTGCCTCCTTCAAAGGGCACAGTGGGTCACTGGCTTCTCTCTGGGGCAGGCTGGCCTAGCCTGGGATCCTTTGAACAAGGAACGCAGACTTTTATTCCACAGTTAGAGATAAAACCCCAAGTGCAAAGAGGAAACATGGAGAGTCCATGAGCGAATGTTTTGTAGACTGTATGGACATGTAATTCGTATGAAAGTCACTATTGTTATTGACCCAAGACATAATCTAGTGCTGAACGGCTGGCGGCAGGTATTTTCTATGTGCCTGGCAGCCCAGCCAGACTCTGCCTGGGGCCACAGCTGACTGAGAATAGTGTGGACACGCATGTTATAGGAGGAACTAATGGCAACAAATTATCCCATTTTTAACACTTGCCACCTTCCTCCAGTCTCAACCTCAGGAATCTCAGCTCTAATATTCAGGGGAGCAAGAGAAGGATAAAATAACTTGAATGTGTGTTCTTGCTAAGAAAGTGAAGACCTACTTTCCAAAATTCAGCCACTTGGCACTAGTGACCACAGCTTTGGTGAAACCAGCTTCACCTAATTGGTTGATGGCTTGTGCTAATTCAGAGGTTAACCAAATTTAGTCCAATACCAACTCTGCTGCTTACCAGAACTGTTACAGAACATCTCTATGCCTCAGTTCTCTCATCTGGAAAACGGGTATAGTCAGAGTACTCACCCTACAGTGTTCCTGTGAAGATAAAATGAGTCCATACATGTCAAGTGCTGAGGAGTGCCACATATATAATAAGTGCTCATAAATGTCCACCACCATCACCAACCAGCCTCACTGCTTTGGTGAATGGCAACTGAGCACCCATTTTCATACATTTATGAGTAGTTTACCCCCGAAACCTTCAAATTCCCAAATGCTCATTAAGTCCAGCCCTACATGTCAAAGAATGCCATCTCTCTTCTGATATACCTGTCTACTTCTTTCCAAAATCTTCTGTGCCACCAGGCTGAGGACATAGGCAACTCTAAGTAGTAAAATATGAAAATCCACACAAAAGAGAAAGACTGTATTTGATTATTTCAGATCCCAGGCTCGTTTTCTCAATCCCTAACCAGGTGTGAGGTGCAGATTAGTGTTGGTTTTTATAACCCTGAGTGGCGGGTGTGTCTGGGTGTCAATGCTGTATAAAAATCAGGAGGAATTACAGGCGTGAAATTGCTGAACGTCTAAGGCTGATAAACAACATACCCTGTAACATGAGGGAAAACAAAACTGTCCCAGTCTGTGGCCTGCATTGCTAATCAAGGCCAGTTGCCTGGGCCTGTGTCCAGCCATCAGGTGAGGTAGAAGGAAGAGGCAGAAGAGGAGAAACAGGAGACCAATCACCACTACCAGCTGGGGTGGGGGATTCCCCATCCTGCGGCTATCTGCCTTCATCTTCTGGCTGGAAGCCTTTGTTCTGTGCAAAGGCCTGGCTCCCACTTGTGTCTTTGGCTCTACTGCCTGGACTGCACCTGGTTTCTTCTTAGGCACCCACTAGTCTCTCTGCTGCTGAGAATTGTTTTGTGTGCGCCTCTTGCCAAACAAAGCAGAGATGCAATGTGAATTCCAGGGCAAAACCATCACTCCAAAAACCAATTATATTTCTCAGTATCTCCTACTGACTTTGCAGCAACTGGTGTGGTAGCAAAAGCCCCAGGACAGACACAGAAGTCTCCCATGGCCTAAGCCTGATCACTTAACCTCTCTAGGCCTCAGTTTCTTTGTCTGTGAATGCAGATAGTAAAGAGTTTTTGTAAGGAACTGTATATGTTGCGACTCCTGCAGCAGCTCCATTGGTGGAGGGAGGATCACTCAACAGAGCTCTTGTTGGTCCAGTTTCTCCCTGGCACCTCGAGGGCAGACTCAGCCTGCTGGTGACAGACACAGCAGCTTTCTGGGCCCTGTCCTAGCATTGCATCATATGGGGAGGGGCGGGATGAAACTGAGCCAGCAGAATTCAAAAGCAGCTTTCAGACTTTTACTGTCAAGGAAGACTAGGAGCCATTTGTAGGGTTTTGGTGATACAAGTTGGTACCTGACTTTTGGTCTTTATCAAGCTAAAAAGGGGGAATACAGATCCCAAGACTATCATTAACAAAGAACAATTTCTAAATGCCCATCTCAGCCTTATGGCAACCCTTCTTGGTTGAGATTAAAGTTTCCAAAGACATTCCAAGAAATACTAAGATTTCCAGATGCTGCCCTGTGCTCTGAAGGGACACACAGCAGGCTTTTGTGGCTGCCCAGCTCCCACCAAAGCAGAAAGAAACGGGACAAAACACTTCACTCCATGCAGCCTCTGGGCCTGACTCTAAGCCAGGCAGCTCTAAATGTCCCTTTAGAGAAGGCCAACGCCACATTGTCCTCATGTAGCTCTGGGTCCTTTAATGTTTACTGAACACCTGCTGGGTGCAGCGACAGGGATAATAAGTAAAACCCATACTTGCCCAAATGCCCAAGGCCACCACCTCCTCCTCCCAGCTCACTTCCCCACCCAGATTACCCAGTGCTAGATGGTGGGGACAGAGAAAGGGGAAGATGCAAAATCAGGTTTTTATGATAGTTGCAACTGACCTCCTGCCTGCCCACCAAAATGGATGCCCCCAAATCTGGGCCTCAACTAACTATTTGTTGCCAGAGCCTTGAGCCTAATTATATAAGAAATTTTGATTTGGTTCATAAAAAAGTTGATCTTGCCTCTGGAGTGACCTGCAGAAACAGCCTGTAAAAGCTGCAGTCTTGAAGTATTCCAGGTGGATTTCTTGTCATTTCAGTGGAAGTTTACCATTCATGCAACTCAGTGGCCACTACAGACTGATGGCTTGTATTTCAGGTTGTGGAATGCATAGTTATTTGTCATTGGGCCTTGGCCATAGGTTTGCATTTTAAACTGAAAGACAACAGATGCTAATTTAAATATTAATACTTGTGTTTTACCCAAAACCTAGATGTTTCGGCCTAAATCCTTGTTTTGCAGTTTTAACTTGCCTCTTGCAATTTAAATGGGAATGTATCAAGTAAATAGATACAAAATACAAAGGAGTTATATTTTAAATGATCGTAATACTCTCTGGGGAATAGACAGTATCTCTCTGTCTTGGGCAGCTGCTTGTGGGCACACCATGCCTCCCACTTAACTAAGTGGCCAGGAAATAATTCAACAGCTGCTCTTGGCCTACGGTGGTGCCTTAGAAGACTGAGCAACCACGTCTGCGGGCAGAAAGCCTGGTCTTCCTCGGCTCTTACAAGCGGTGTCCTCCGAAGGGCTCCCGCTTTCCCGGGGTGAGTGCGGCTGGGCTCCCGAGGCCGCCTCAGCTAGGGGCCGGCAAGCCCCTGGGGCACAGAGCCCAGGTGCAGGTAGTGTCTAGCCAAGACCCTGGCTCTACTTTGGCTGGTTCTGTGCTTTGGCGTGGCGTCTCCAGAGAGGGCGGTGGAAGGCGAGCCATGGCAGCAGCCCACCACCCCACGCCTGAGGTCAGGAGACGACGCACGGAGCCCCTGAGCAGTGACTGGCCCTCAGTAGTCTGGAGCCCCTTCTCGGCAGCACACGACCCCTCAACGGGCTCAGGGAGGAGCCCTTGGGAAGGGGTGGGCCACAGGGAAAGGAGTGGGCCGCAGGGGTGGTGGGAAAGAGGCGTCCCCAAAGCTGGCAGACAGGCGACCCGTGCCACCCAGGGAGCTGCCAGGGCTGCATTCCTGGGAGCAGGGACGAAGAGGCCCTTTCGCAGCCCGCAGGCCTTGTCCAGGGCTGGGGCCACCATCGGTGCCTTTAGGTCAAACCCGGGGCTCATCCCACCCGGAGACCACCCCTATTTGCCAAAGCCCCGAGGCTATTAGCAGCAAGGCTTTAGCAGCAAGGGCTGCGGGGGCAGGGACAGAGGTGAGGTCCCCTGGCAAAGGGGAGGAAACCCGAGGCGGCCGGGACACAGGCGACTGACTGTAAGGCAAGGTGTAGAGGTGTCAGCTCAAATCTGTCCGAGGGTGACTTTAACCAGCGGAGAGGCCCAGCATATGGTTTCCAGGTTGGGCAGTGGAACACAAAGAACGACTTTGAGCTGAGGGAGCCTCCTGACACCAAAACCAAACGATCCCCGACTTAGGGGGCCCGGAGTAGCAGGAGGCTGGATTTTTGGTTGAGTTGCAATTAAAGAGAGATAATTAAGCCCGCAGCCGCGCAGCTTATTAATATTTATAGCCCAGAGCCACAGAGTCTTTGCTCAGTGGAGGTGGATTTTCAGGCCCGGGCGGGGCCGGTGTCTCCAGAGCCAGGGCTTGGGCAGTGATCCGGGAGGAGAAGGCTGGGTGGGTAAAGAGGGGCGCGTCCCGCCTTCTGCGTTTCTCCCATACGAGAGCGGCGGAGTCGGCCGGGCCTGCAGGGTCCTGCGAGGATGGCCATCCACGCGTCCCGAAGGCCACGAGCCGCACCAAGCACCTAGCAGGGCCACCGGCGGCGGCTCTTTGTTAGTTACCCAAACGTTGCTTCCTGCAATGTGGTTCTAGCTCCAGAGACAGGCAACGCTCTTAAGTAAACGGTCCAGGAATTGGGACTCCAGGTGGATGTCTTTTCTTTTCCTCCCTCCGTTTAAGAGCAGAGCAGAGAACAAACCGCCCTGGCATGGGTCGGATCTGCAAAAAACGCCCTCCAGCCTCGAGCTCTCTGTCCGAGGGCTGCGGGGCACCGGGAGGGGTTTCTCAGAGCACGGGTCACTGGTCGCTGTTAGGGCCCGGGGCTGCTCTGGAGCGGGCGGAAGGCGGGGCTGCGCAGGCGGCTCCCGCACCGGCCTCCCTCCCGAGCCCCGCGCCCGCCCGAGGCGGGAGGGTCCGATCGGTCGACGTGCGATCCGGCCCAGGAAACGCGCAGGAAGCGGCTGCCATCTGTGCCACACGCAGTTCTCTGGTTTCTGCTTTTCCCGCACGGCCCAAGGGGGCGGGGAGGGCGCGCAGCGGGGTGGGGGGGCCTCGCCCCTGCCAGCGGAGCTACGGGTCGATTCTGCCGTAATAAACGCGGGGTTCGGGGGTGGGAGGGCGCCGCAGCCGTTCCCATGGCAACGCAGCGCCCCGCTGGGTCCCGGGGGGCCGGGGTTGCGGGAGGCTGCGCTGGGGATGGAGCTGTTCGCTGTGGCCGCCGTGGCAGCCAGCCTCTTCTTACTCCTGGTCTTCCTCCTGTTTATCTCCGTCTACGTCGGCTCTGGGTCTCTGCATCAGCCTCTGTCCCAGAACTGTTAACTGAAAGAACAGGAGCTGAAGTCGCCAGGGGGGTTCCGATGCAGCCGCCAGCCACAAAAGGAGGACCCTGCTGCGTCCTGAGGGCACCGCGGCGCCCCGGCCCGCAGCGGTGACACCAGGCTCGCTTCACAGCTGCGTGGGCTCCTGCGAGCCGCGCCCGGGGCTAGCGAGCACCGACAGCAGCAAATGTCCAGGAAGACTCCCTGTGTATTAAAAGGGGGATGAGCCGCGATGAATTACGATTATGGGTTAGAACATAAAGGCATATTTAACAAAGAGACACAGACGACGTTGTAAGCGAGTTTTCTTTGCATCTCTGTACACACGCACTCTCACCTAAGACGACGTTTTTGGTAGGCACGAAATGGATTTTTCATCTGTAAAGAATGTTCTCACATTGCTGGCGGAGTTAATCAAATACGATGGAATGGTGGCATTAGGTAATTTCACCATGAGGTTGATGTTATTGTTTAAAAACTATACTCTGTATTTAGTTCATTGCCATTAAGGTTCGCCCAGCTAAAACTATAATAATGGCAATCTAAACTGCTTTATCATGGGAAAGTCAATCTGGCAGAAAGGTAATCTATTCAATGCCCATATCCAGTAGATCAAAACACTTGCCCTCTTTATGGCTAACTTACACTTATTGCTTGAAATTTGGAATAGATAATGTACTCTGGTATTTTACTGTTCATTTTCTCAACCTTTCTTGGCTGATGCCACATTATTCATTTTTCCTCTTATCTTGCTTGTGTTTTTTAAAATAAGCTTCTAGAAGTTTCATAGTTGTTTCAGACTTTCAGAAAAGTTACAAAGAGTTCTCCTACCCCCTGCCCCCTACCCCCAGTTTCTTCGATTAACATATTAGTGTGGTACATTTATCATGATTAAATCAACCAATATTATTAACTGAACTCCACACTTCCTTTGGATTTTATTCGTTTTTCTGTTCCTGGATATCACGTTACATTTAGTCCTCTTGTCTCCTAGGCAGGCTGTGACAGCTTCAGGCTTTTCTTGCTTTTTGACCTTGAAATGTTTGAAGTTTCTTCTTAATTGAGGTACAATTTACATATAATGAAATTTAAGGATTTCAAGTTATACTTGTATCCGTTTTGACCATATCATGCACACTTGATATATAATCTACTTTTGCATAGGAATCAAATCTGGTAATTTAAAATATTGTCACAAATATTACAGATGTATGTGTAGTTTCTCCCATATATATACACGTTTTACTAAAATTTTCTCATGACCTTTTAATTCCAACTTAGTATTTAAAATTTTTCAATCTCATAGGATGTTAAAAATTAAAAGGCTAATGTTGGCTTCATAAATTGATAATTTACATCAATTATCATCCTTTGGACACAAGCTACTGACTTGTCTATTCTAGAACATTTTCTTCACCGTGGAGAGTATAGCCTAGGCACTCTCCTTAAGAAATCAGACAAACTGGAGGATGAGACAGTATGGGCAGCTCATTTGGTTGGCTCTGAAACTTTAAAAACTGTTTTGCAGTTCTCAATATTGAAGCAATAATTAATGCATTTATTTGTGCACAGCTCTCAGGGGAATTGTTATTAAATATGACATTGGTAATTTTGTCACAGATCTCCAATTCTAATTGTAAAAAAGTGTTCCATATTTCCTTAAATCCTTGAGAGTTTGACACATGGTATAACCCCTAAAGATATTTGAGTAATGTTTAAAAACTTAGAACTAGTGCTTGACAATTAGAAAAAAGAAAACAGAGGTCTTAAGGTCATTGCAAACATGAACTCAGAACTTGAGGCAGACACATTTTTAAACAGGTGAGTAAAACACTACATAAAATCTAACTTCCTCTTCATTTCTATGGCTTTTCATGCTAGCAGGCTCAGTGGATCACATTTCTATGATTTGTTAATACAGAGTAGTGGACATTAGAAAAGGTAAAATTGAAGGCTGCATTTCTCACCATTCATGCACAATTTTTAAGAAACTCAGAAACCTTCCCAATGGGCTGGAGACCTGTCCATGTTGAATGAGGCTGATCGAGTCAGAGGGAGCAGCTGTTGGTAATTTCTGACTGCCTTTTAGAAGCTTTTGGCTAACATAGCTTTTATAGTCAGGCCACGTTCATGCCAACATGATTCTGGCCCACATTATACTTATCTGTCTCAATCCACAAGTGAAAACCAAGCAAACTAGGCTCGAAGACTGTTCGGAGGGTGTAACAGTAGTCAAGTGGTTTTCATTCTTTTGCCATGACAAAAGTTTCAAAAATCTGTGTCATTTAGCATTAAATATATTTTCCAACCATTCAAAAAAATATGAGTTCCTATACAAATCAAATAATATGAGCAAATATATCTTCCAGAATGATGATTTTGGAAAGAAAGTAAAGATAAATTTTTTGAGGAGTAATGCCCCTTGAATGAGGTCTACCTTTAATTACAACTAAGACAAGACTTAATGTTGAACACCTTACCGTGTGTGATCTTTTGAATTATTTGCCTGGATTTAGGTAAGCTAACTGTGACTATCTCGATGTCAGAAACAAAATCCTGCATGCTTACAAATCATATTTCCACAGCTGTCACTCACTAGCTGAGAGTTCAGCTGAGTAGAGCATGACAGTCACATGTACACTGATTTAGGCATAGTGGTTAGTGAGCATGGGCTTTAACGTAGACAGCCAAGTCCAGATCTACTGCCACCACTGACTTGTGGGTGACCTTACGCATGTCACTTAGCTCCTCTGTGCCCCAGTGCCCTCAACCCTACAATGGAGATATTAACTTTATAAAATTGTTGTAAGGATTAAATGAAATATTTGCATAACACTCATCATTTACTGAGTGCTTCCTATTATAACTATTATTATTGCTCCTTGTTTTTAAATACCTACTATAATACCAGGTAGTATATTATATACTGAGTTTTCAGTAATATATATATATAAAAACACAGACGTTACTGCATAGAGCCTAAAAATTGATTCCCTAGGTTTTAAGCACCATTTGACCTGTTCTTATTAAATTTAACAAGCTTACTTCTGGCCTATCACATATGTGTATAACATTGTGCTAAATGCTGTTTATTTTACTGTGTGCTCCTTCATTATTGCAAAAAAGATACAAACGAAAAGAATATTTAACTCTTGGCAAACCTACCCAAAGCCTTAGGTACAGAAGCTATGTATTCACACTCAGATCCTAACAAGATTCCCCCAGGAACACAGAACATGGGACCAACTGCAAATTGACCTCCATTTATGCAACAGGCAATGAGTGTCAGCTGTGTGTCAGGCACTGTTCAGAGCTGGCCATTCATAGAGAAAGCATAGTCCCTGACCTCAAGAAACTTACAGTGAATTGGAGGAAGATACAAAATTAAATATATGATCAGTGCACACAGGACAAGATGTGGTGCAAACATACAGGGTGTTTAGCCCAGACTCAGGGACACAGGTGGGCAAGAAAAGCCTCCCAGAGAAGATAGGCATGGGTGATGAGGAAAAATCATGGCATTGATCCAGGTGATCTAGAAGGTACCATGAATACTCAATCCAATGGAAAACTCAATTCTTGGAGTGTGAAGCCAACCTATCTCCTGAGAGAAATCCCTGTAGTCTAAGAAGAGAAAAGACATGATAGTAGGAAAATGAGGTAGAGGGGAGATAGCTGACTTGGAAACGTGACTAAAGCCTACAACAAGCTTTTCTAGGGTATTCTATTTCTATATGATCATTTCCATCATCTTAGCCCATTTAGGTAAGGACAATTTCCTATGAAAAAACAGATTTATGGTTTTAGTTAATGGAAAAACTCAAAGGAAAAATAGTACTCTATAGAAAGTCACTGTAAAGCCATATTAGATACACATTTCAAACCTAAGTGAACAGAATTGTTAGTCCCCTTGTTTAGGTTAAGCTTTTAGCCATTATAAAATTTCTCAAGGAGGTTTGATTTTTATTTTTTTTGCTTTGATCCCTAAGTCTATGATGTGAGGAGGTTTGAGACTAATGAAGATGGATCATAAATACATTTTACTTCTGCCAACTCATTTGCTTATGCTAGCTTATTCTTTGGTTATTAGTGAGCATATTAATAGTCAAAATATGAAGTTCTAATACTTAAGAAATCAGTCTTACTGAATCAAATAGGTTGATTGTGGTGAGTGCCAAGGAAGAGAGTACCATGGCTTAGAGAGATGGGGTGTGGCATTGTAGACAAGAACCACCCCACCCCAAGGAAGAGGGAGGGGAGGAGTTGGTGAGTCCTGCCATGTTCTGTCACACTTGCTGGCTGTATGACTTTGGGCAAGCAAGCTCATATTTCCCCTCTAGAAACTGGACACAGCATAATACTTATCTTGTTAAGGAGATTACATTAGGTAATTGCTATGGTCTGAACGTTTGTGTTCCCTGAAAATTTGTATGTTGAAACCTAATCCCCAATGCAATAGTTTAAGAGGAGGAGACTTCTGGAGATAATTAGATTATGAGGGCAGAACTCTCATGAATGGGATTAGTGGCCTTATAAAAAGCTGGTTAGCAAGAGCTTGTTTGCCTCTTCTGCCATGTGAGGAAACAGCAAGAAGATAACATCT